AACCCAGTAATCCCACTCCTCAGTTTATACCCAAAGGACTTAATATCTGCATATTGCCAGATTGATATTTATAGCAGCTCAATTCACAATAGCTAAGATTTGCAACCAACCTAGGTGCCCTTCAACAACGAATAGATAAAGAAAATGTGGTACATATACACTATTGAATATTACTCATGAAATCGTGGCATTTTCAGGTCAATGGATGAAGCTGGGGAATATCATGCTAAGTAAAATAACCCAACCCCCCCCCCAAAAATAAAGGGTTAATTTTTTTTTTTGTTAGTTGGTTGTTATTCCTTATTAGGGGGGGTGTAAGGAAGAATGAAGAAACTTTAGATAGTACAGAGGGGAGGGGAGGGGGGATGTGGATAGGAAGGATAGTTGAATAAGACAGGCATTATTACCTTATACACATGTGTGGTTACACTACTGGTGTAACTCTATACCACGTACAGCCAGAGGAATGAGAAGTTGTCCTCCATTTGTGTACAGTGTGTCAAAATGCATTCTACTATCATGTATAACTAATCATGCTTTTTCAGAGGTGGTTTTACTATCAGAATTTTAAATTCTTGTCCTTTGCTTCTCTAGGATCTTATTCTACCAGAAGGTCTACAAATAAATAAATAAATAAATATTTCCTTAGATAATTTTTGATCATGCTTTTTTGTATGAAAAATTAAAATAAATATTTGAAAATATATATATACACACTACTGATTTACCTATTAAATATTTCTTTTGTGATTGTGATCAGCATGTAGCATATAAGATGGAATGAAAAAATGTCAAATAATAATTATTTTAGAATATAAATATACATCTCAAAAATCCAAGATTTACCTTTTAAAAAGGCAACATTCCACTACCTGATTGTATACTATCCTACCCCCCAAGTTTATGTGTACCTGGGCTGTGTAGTGTTTTTCCAAAATTCATGTCTACCTAAAACCTCAGAATGTGACCTTCTTTGGAAACAGGGTTTTAGTAGATGTAATCAATATAAAAAGAGATCAGACAGGATTAAGAGGAGTCCTAATCCAATGACTAGCATTACATTTGGACGCAGACCCAGAGGGAAGAGGATGGGAAGATGCACAGGGGGAATGCTATGTGATAGAGATCTAAGCCAAAGACACAAGATTGCTAGTGCCACAGCAGCAACGAAGTCACAAGGAAAGATTTTGCCCTAGACAGACAGAGCAGGCTCTGTCAGCACCCTGACTGCGGTCTCCCAGCCTGCTACAGCTGTGAGATGACACTGGGTATTTTAAATCACCCAGTTTCTGTTTGTTAAACAGCCCTAGAAAACTGATCAATCCTCAATTTTAGGAATGTGTCCACTGAGAACTAGAAACCAGTTTCTATAATCATGCTTTTTTAGAGGTGGTTTTACTATCAGGATTTTAAATTCTTGTCCTTTGCTTCTCTAGTATCTTATTCTCCCAGAAATTCTACAAATAAATAAGTAAATAAATATTTCCTTAGATAATTTTGGATCATGGCTTTTTGTATGAAGAAATAGCTCCTACATTGTGAAAATTCTGAGAGCCCTTAATGTGATACTACTTCTTATTATTCTAAAGAAGGTCATAATTGATAG